GTGCTCAATCTCCCGTGCAGTTCCAAGCTGGGAATTTCATCGTGGTAAACGTCATGACCTATATGAGCATCCTGAAGACTTCTGTTTCCTATTTATCAGTTCTTCGTGTAATGGTGGAAACGTAGCAAGTATAATTAAAAAACAAACTATATATATGCTAATTATATATATGCTATATATATGCTAAATATATATATGCGAATTAAAATTGTTCGAAACATAGAAGCATAGAAATATAAAAGCATTAGAAACATTGTAATAGTGAAAGTTTAGCGTATTTTAATAAAATTTTTAATTATAATTATACATACACAGTGTCTAATCGTCTTTTTTGTATCTATCGGTACTTCGAGTAAAAACATAAATTATATTACACTGTTAGTGAGAAAAAAAATTCTACAAGACAGATGTAAGTCTACAATTCGGTGTGAAGTTCGACGAGATAGAGAGTCGTGAAAGGAAAAGTTTGAAGAAATATTATTTCAATAAAATTGCTAAGTATTGTTGTAACACAATCGCCTATTCAAGCCAAATTAACTATTTTTTTCGATAAATGTTGGAAATGCATATTCTAGAAGAAAATATCCTAACAAATATCGTCAACAACTACATGAAGGAAATTGTCGTTAATGTTACACTTCAACTGTGCAGACAGTTTGAGTTTTGTTAAACAACTTCCAGCGAACTGATCGTCATGAACGTAAGCGCTAGCGGAACAAAATCGTTGAAGAACTCGTCGTCGTGCATCTAGATATATTAACACTCACAGAAGATTCTTAAGAGCTGTTGAGAATTCTTTTGATTGTTTTAATGCGTATTACTGACGTGATTTTTATACATTACACAGGTAAGTTTACAAGTCAACAATTTTCACGTTGTTTACATTATCCATATTCTAAGCGCGTTTTGATCGCAGAAGCGTTGACAAATAAATCTATCAAAATAGTTAAGAGAAGCATCGTAATATTATTAACATTATATCTCATATAAAATTTTATATAGTAACATTTTAGCATAAAAGTATGATTTGCTGCATTTTATGATACAAACTGCGTATGCGAATTAAATATATAACAAAAATAGTATTAAAAATGCTCGAATATGCTGAGTCAAAAGAAACGTCGACATGTAAATAGAACGCAAAATACTTCTGCTACTTGTAACTCCGATCAAACTTCTCCGATTCAAACTTCTCCGAACTTGTAACATTTCTCCGACAACTAGCGACATTTTCTCTTACTGCTTGTATGCGATACAAACGCACTGTGGATAGACGGAAAATTTAGAAAATGCACTTATGGCAATTCTTGCTACCAACAATTTGAGATGAAAGACTTCATTGTACTTTATTGTATTTTGCGATGATGTGTAAGTAAAGACGGACTGATAAGCGGGTATATATCTCGAGTTGAATAAAAAATGAATTGTCATATCTGCATCGCGTCGGCGTAGCGAGCGTATCATCGGTTATTGACAGCAGTTATCGTCATCACCTCGACGCAATGGCGAGTGAACGATGGAACGAAGGTTTCGCGTACGCGATAACCCCCTTAAAGCTTTTATTGTGGCCTCTGGGGGTTTGGCCACTTCAAGTTTATAACGTATATTCTTTAATACGATGTATCCTAACTACTTGTGGCATGGTACGCACCTTTTTGAACAAGACAGTTCTCGACGAGTAGTTCTTGGTGCCGGTAGAAAGATCAGTTTTTGTAATGAAGAAATTTTGGACAAAACTGGTGTCACGTTGACATTATTGAGTATCTAGTTACGGATATTGAATATTCAATTATTGACAATGTAGAGGGTGAAGTATCCTTTTTCTACAAGTAACAGTGTGTGAGTGGAAGCAAAGATAGTAGCGTAACCCATTAGAGAATAGTATGCAAGTATCGACAACAGACTCAGCTTATATTCTTTAATACTATGTATTCTTAAACACTAATCTTGTTAAGAAAACTAAGAGACGTTATATATCACACATCAAAGATCGTTATTTATAATTAAATATAACAATATAACGGACTAACTCGCGCAAATTGGAATTGCAAAATATTTTTTCTAAACATAGAATACACTGTATATGATATATCATTTATGCACATCAACAGGGCATAATAGTGGTCTTGCCGTCGCTTGAGATATATTTGGGATGCACCGATGCGGAGCAAAACGTTGACTCGCTCATGATGATTTTCTCTGCAACGCTTGCTATGACGAAAATGGTATGCGTCCGCATTTATGCAACGAACTTCATCAAGAATTACAAATCCGTTCTGAACGATTATCTCTTGATCGAAAACGACAAGCAGCGTGTAATTATGCACAGACACGCTCTTATAGGGAACACTCTCTTGTGTTGCATGACATTTGTTTCTTACTCTGATTGTGTCATTTATTGTCTGATACCTTTCTTGGGCAATAAATATAATAATCAAACCAACATAACAAATGAAGATATAATATTGGAGTACACGGTACCATCAAGGTGCGCTTTGAACTACTTGAACCTGCCAGACATGCATAAAATATATTGCTTCTTCGAAATAATTCCGATGTTACTCGTGTGCACGAGCAATTGTGGTAATATTTATTCGTTGTATGTCATATTTTCTGCATGTTATATATTATTGCATAGAGAATATCAATTTTTCGAGTGTTACCTTGTATTAGCTTTAAGATGTGTATCAATGTGCTTTTGCTTTATGAAGGTAACGACATTTTGACTCTCCAAGCTGTGTTGCATATTTGCGGTCAAGTAAAAATTCTGAAGTCTAAGTTCATGAACTTTGATATCACGAGACCGAAAGCCTACGATCGTTTCAACGCGCTAATTCAAAAGCACGGTCATTTGATGGATATGACCAAAATGCTTGCCGATGCGATCAGTTTTATTTTACTGGTTCAGTTATTTCTTAGTAGCATGCTTTTATGTGTAATAGGTGAATATTGTATTACTTATATTGGTTTCGTGAAATAAATATCTGATGTTTACATTATAATGATATTACACAGAACATCATATACAGAGTGTCCCAAACTCTCCTCCGCAATTTTTGTGGAAATGTAGGACAGATTGAGGTAAATATAAAAGTGTCGTACTATTTTGTGATATTTGCAATAAATTTCGAGACATTAATTAAAAGAGATTAGAGTGAGATGCGCGATATGTATGAGCTGTAGTGGCGCCGTCTGCCGTTGTATACTTATACATTAGGTCAAAAAGTCTGCTACCATTTTGCAAGTGACTACATAGAATTTTAGATATTACTTTGTGCGTTATCACGCATAATTATGTAACAATTTTTTTTCATTAATCTAAAAAAAAACTAATTATTCTAAAAAAAAAATCGATGTGGTTATGTGGTTTATGTGTATATATGTTGTTTTAAATAATAAAAGACTTTTTTGCTCAATTTTTTGATATAACATACAAGCGTATAACAACACACATCGCCACTACAGCTTATCTATATCGCGCGTGATTATTGACTAATCTTCTCTAATTAATCTCGACTATTATTGCGAATATCATAAAATGATATAAGACTTTCGGGTTCACCTCAGTCCGTTTTACGTTCCCAGAAAAATTACGAAGGGAAGTCTGGGATACGCTAAATAATATAAATGTTCTTTTTTACAGGATTTCAATTTATCTTGGCGTTGAAAGTCAATGACGTTACTATGACAGTAAAAAGCCTCTTGGTGCTCAACACTTTTCTTGCAGAAATATCAATATATAGTTTCGTTGGGGATTATTTGAGATCTCAAATGGAAGAAATTGCTACTTTTATTTACCAGAGTGTTTGGTACGATTTTCCTGCGACACTGATGAAAAATTTATCGTTCATCATCACAATCTCGGTCACAATCTCCCGTGCAGTTCCAAGCTGGAAATTTCATCGTGATAAATCTCATGACTTATATGAGCATCCTAAAGACTTCAGTTTCCTATTTGTCTGTACTTCGTGTCATGGTGGAACCGTAGGAAGTGTAATGAAGATACAAACTGTATACCTGCAGATCGAAGCTGCATTTTAAATATAGGAGTTTATAGAAGTGATAATTTATCATAATATAGTTGTAATAAAATTGTTAATTATAATTATATACACACGATATCTAATCGTCTATTCGTGCCAAATGAGATTTCTTTGCGTGTGATACAGGAAATCTGTATGCACTTAAAGGAAAATACTCAATTGAAACAATTGAAACAAAGACTTGAACTTTATTGGAAGTTGGAGATATGATACTGTACGCGTACTTTTCGAAGTTAACATAGTTTCTGTCTGTCGAAGTTTGTGTCTTGCTTCCACAGTGATTTTGTCCGTCGCCTTTTCGAAGCAAGTTTCGAAGTTTTGTCTCAATTATACCATTATTACAATATATGTTGGTTTTTACTTTACATTTCTGTACCCTGATTTACAGTGTAACATCGATATATCGTTTGATCAGTAGCAACCAATTAAAATTCACCCTTAGCTTATATTAAATATTTCACGTTTTCAAATATAGCCACTTCCAATATCAATCAATCAGTTCATAGATCTTTGTTAATTACGTCGACAATATTGCGACTTTCAAATTTACGATTGATCTCCTTTTTCTCACAAGGCACGGTGCTCTCACTGCTACGCAACACGTCTCCTTCGTCGTTATAATGTAGATGTATCTTCATCACTATTCCTCTATGACTCCTGGCAGGATGTTCACGTGCCCTCGTGACTATAGAACAGGCTGTCATAGAGAGTTAGCGCAGCACAGTGTATAGACATAACCACTGTCCCTTTCACGCTTACGTTTACCGTACTACCATCCCGGTTGCACCGCACGAATGAATAAAATATAAGTCTAGTGATGCTAATACGTCTTATTTGGTGAAACAATCTACGGTAATACCTTGTGATAATGCCCGTAAGCCGATATCGAAATTACGAAATCGAGCTCTTCGCCTGCAAAACGACCGCACAAAGTAGTTTCAAATGTGCAATCATCCAAGTAGTTTGTGCCAGCATCATAATGTCGGATGATCGTTGGAACGATGATGTCGCCTATGCCTTCGACACTCATAAAATGTTTATGAATGCAATGGGTCTGTGGCCACTTCAAAAGATGACGCCGCTCGCGACAATACGATGGGGCTTACTGACAATTCTGCTGGTACGTAGCAAGCAAAGGGAAGTACTGTGTTGCACTGAGGGAGTTATATAAGAAGTTTCAAAAAGTGTAATTTAACTAGTTTTCCTTACACACAAAGTTATAGAGCTGCAAAAACTTAAGTAAATACAGATTGTAAGTACACACAGAGATACTCAAAGTCCGAATTAAAGAATTATTTGAGGACAGAGAGCGAAATAATTGAAAATAGCAAAGATTCGTCAGAAGGCATTTAAGGGACAAGCATTGTTATTTTTTTTAATAGTCATTTCTACATAGCCGTTCACCATATTTTCTAAGGCAATGGGGTCATTACTAGTTTGGCGTATTCGCCTTCGTATCCATGGAATTCACCAGAACCGATCAAGATGCCGGCAAAAGCATAGAAACAATGTTATTCTCTATGTGCACGGGCGCTACCTTGTTAAAAAATTACTGTTTTACCACCAATCGAAAGAGGCTGGCCAAGAACATTAATGTTGCTATCGACGATTGGATAGACGCGAAGAACGATGCACAAGCTTACAAGATCATGAAAAAATATGCGTTTCAATCCAGGCTGTTCACCTCGGTGATATTGTACTTGGCTAATATATGTACGGTTCTGTACATAATGGTTATCTTCTTATTAAATAACAAGCAGAACCCTTTAGACACTTTAGATATTAACACAACAGGTAACTTATTTTTTTAATATTTCATATGAAATTATCTTATAAATTCGCATGAGCAATATGATATAATTGTATGTAATTCTCTCACCAAAATTCTGAAAATAATTATCTTGCTTTTCGTTTCTCGCACGTAACGTAACATGTGTATTTAACTAACGTGTATGTGTGTGTGTGTATGTATGTGTTACATCTTTTTAACTTTTCGTAGTATTTAAAATTTTTAACTAGAGCCGTGCATTAATACTGTTACCATTATTCTTAAGATCTTGATGAGATTTCACGTGTAGCTAACATCAGTACGACTGATTGGACGTTTGTACTACCATCCGGTGATTTGGGTAAGATAGTCTCGAGCATACCGCTATATGCTGTGCTCATAGTTATACAAAGTATTCAAATAACCTTAATATCCGAGTCGGAATCTATTATGGACGCTTTCTACACCAACGTCACGCTACATCTCGCCGGCCAGCTCGAATTATTAAAAATAAAAATAAAAAAATTCGCGAGTGAGCCAGACACTGTCGTGAATCATCGGAAGCAATTTGCCAAGCTGATCAACAGGCATTGCGTATTAATGGAGCTCAATCACAATTTAGAAAAGACGTTCAATCTGATTATACTGTACCAGCTTCTTATAGTAACACTTTTGCTCGCACTGTTAGGTATGACGACTTTGTTTCGAACATATCGCGCAATCTCTATTCTGATTTGCAAGATCTTCAAGCAATTATAGAACTCACAAATCTTCACACATTTTCGTATCAATTTCCATATAAGAGATCTTTGTTTCAGGGTTACGGATATTAATCAGCATAAAGGATCATGACTACGTTATATTATCGAAAAGCGCTCTAGCTTTGAGCTACGTGTTCACGGAGTCTGTGGTGTATTGCTACTGCGGTGATTTTGTACAGAGTGAGAGCGAAGAATTATTCCACGCGTTGTACGCTACTTCCTGGTTCACGCTTCCTGCCTCACTAATGAAGGACGTACGTTTCGCGATGATGAAGTCGAGTTATGCGTTTCAACTGAGCGGGGGAAAATTTTTCAGCGCTAACCGCCAAGCGATGTTTAACGTTGTCAAGACCGCAGCTTCGTACATTTCGGTTTTGCGAGTGTCGATAATGGAATAACACGGATGAACAATCGCATGTTTCTATGTAGGGCGAATGTGGAGCGTTCGCAAAAAATATTGTATATAGATAGTTAATACGATATAAAAAAAGAATATGCAGATACAGTTACAATTAAATTATTTAGGAAAGTACATTTTGGTCTTTCTTAATGATCGAGATAACTCTTGGACTCCTACGGATTATTGAAGAATATATATAAAAAGTTTTAAGTTTCAGTCACATCACAAGGAATATCACGCAGACTCACCCCACGCAGCTGTAGCACGGGTTGCTCGAGTTCATCGAGCACGGATGACACTTTGCTCCTTTCGTGATCACTCACGCAGCTTGCGTTGTGATTCGCATGCAACACTGCTTCGTATTTGTCGTTGACCAACAGGTAGCTTTAATCCTACTATTATTATTTTGTTGGCCATTCGCCTCACTCGGTTAAGCGACAGATAGAAAGAATCTTGCTCGCGGGAAAAAACACAGACGCTCGCGTACTTAATCGCGAGCATCTGATACATACAGTGAAAATTTGTGCGCGTTATCATACGTCCCGAAATGCCGTATACTGGTAAACAAATTCGTCGCGCTACTTATCTTACCACCGTTAAAGACAGGTCAGCACGGAGGATACAGCTGTGTACGGATGGTAGCAAGTTTTCTCTTTCGAGGCAGAAATAAGCCATTGATCCGACCGTGACAGTAATTCAGTCACGCGTGACCGCAATTTTATTTTGCTGTCAAAACTAGTTGTCGCCGAACGTAACGGGGAAATTGGAACAGTAGGATGAATTACGGCTTTTCCACGATAAAATAGACGATGGGAATACTCGGCATGACCGATGGAACTTTATATTTTGTACGATTCAGTGGTTTGTAGTAGTTCACGAGGGAAGGGCGGGTGGTAAAGTAAAATTAACATAAACGCGGTAAAATTAGCTACCTTTTTGACACGTTCAAAGCGGAAGAATATTCGTGCGCATTTTTTCTAGCAGAAATCGATGGGATATTAAAACTGCAAGGATATACAGGGTGTCCCGCGTAAGACGTGCCAAAAGAAAAATATAAGTAGAACAGATAAAACTGAACAAAAATTATAGAGGTCATTTTTCAAACAAGTGAAATTTCGGGATATTAATAAAAATAGTTGGACTTATCAGAGCGCGGAGACGCGGTAGACGAAGAAAATAGACGAACGCACACGTACACGGACGCACACACAAAGCTATTCATTTTCATATGCCAAACGGCCCACCTTTCTGGCCTATAAGATAGGCCCGTGAGCACTCCTCCATTATATGTGTAAAAAATCGTCCTGTATATGTGTAAAAAAACTGTTGAATAATTGTTGCATTAAACGCGTTATTTACAATAATATTGCGTATATTAATCTATTTAGAAAGCTATTTTTCAATAAGATATGAATAAGATTATCACATAACGTGCATGTAATATTTTACATTTTATAAAATAATTTATCGTGTAATTTATGTATAAAAAACAATCGACAGTTGAAATTTTTTAAGTAAAAATCTTGAATGTGATTTTTCGGTAACTAATATTTGCAACACATAGTGAAGTTTCACGTGAAAATGTCATTTCATATTTACCACCACACAGTCTCTCATGATGCCAAAAATACTGATAAAATATTTCCATAGCTTCTCAAAGATAGTTTGGAGAATACCCATATGTGTACATGCATCGATAAACACCATTATCTTGTATTTACGTAGAAAATATCACTGTCAATATCAGTAGACACGAGGTTGCGTTAAATTCTTACGATATCATTGCCGAGTATAAAGTTTACATACATTTTGTTAATTTTTTTTCGACATTACTATACATTTCTATGATTAGCTGAAAATCCTCAATATCCTATCCATCGAAATCGACGCAGAAAACGCGATACCAAGAAACGCCGTAAAAATGTTCTGAGATCAACAGACCAATCGCCGGACAACGATGACAGCAAATATCGGGGACGTTTTGTATCAATATTTTCGAGCCCTAAAGAACCACTTACTTGTCACAAACTCGAGCTTTTGTCTTCTCGCAAATATCGTCATGAAGAATATTTGTGAGCACTTCGTGCGCGATGAAGGAAATAGTTCGAGAACTGGACTACAAAAAGCCATAATATCATCAGGTGAGTTCTTATTCAATTCAACGTAAGAGTGCAATTCGCTGCATTTTACGATAATATAATATATTATATTATACATGCGCTAAGGGCACAAAAAAACAGTCCGATAGGCGGTATGTATGGTTCTAAATGAATAAAAAATGAATCGAAATACTTGCGTCGCGACAATGTAGCGAGCACATCGTCGGTTATCGGCATCACAGTGACAGTTATTACTTCGGCCCGATGGCGAAGAAACGATGGAGCAACGATATCGCGTACGCGATGACTCCTTACAAGTGGTTAACGTGGCCAATCGGCATTTGGCCGCTTCAGGTTTTCAATGTTTTCTCTCTAACACGGTGGATCGTGGCCACTTGTTGCATGGTATGCACCTTTTGAGTTTGACATCGTTGTCTTCGTTGCACGGTTTTTTAAAGACGTAAGCATAGTGACTTAAGATTTGCCGCATTTTTAGAGTAGAATGTTACATAAGATGAGATATTCAAAGTGTACTGAATTAATATCTTCAAGAGTATAAGGTTTTCTCTTTGGTGAACTAAAATTAAGCAAACGTTATAGAGACAAATTTAAACAAGCATTTATGGAGTAACAGTTTTTGTCACAATAACCATTTTCACAACGCTATTTTCGAGAAATGCGATTCTTTAAAAGAGATTTTTTTTCCTTATAATATATAGCCGATATGTTAAAGTAAATCAATTATAATATTATGCTTTCATCAAATGCACATATCCTTGTTTGGAAATTTAACATACGTATTGTTTGCGGTCATTCTATAGATTATTACTTACAGTTAAATAATAACGTAAAGAGTAAATTCCTCGAGAACTGGAATTCTTTTTTCTAGACAGCAAGTGCAGTACACAAAATATACCTTTTGCTCATACCAACAGAGCGTAGTAGTGATCATACCAGCGTTCGAATTCCAATTCGGTTGCACCAATGCGGGGATGAACATAGACACCCTCATGCTGATTTCATGCGGGCTGATCTCCATGCTGAAGACGATACTGTTTCGCGTTTATATGAGACAATTAATTGATAATTACAATTCGGCGATAAATGATTATCTCACGATCGAAGATACAGGAAAACGAGTCATTATGAAACAACACGCTTTCTTTGGGAGGGTGCTCGTTGGTTCCACGGTGTGCTTTCTGTGTGTGTACACAGTAATCTCCTCTCTAATTGACGACAAAAATAAGCAGCTTAATGTAACGAGCGAGGTGACAGTGGAGGAATATCCGATACCATCGAGATGTACTGTAGAGTACTTCAATGTACCGAGCAGCATGACTGATATAGTGCGCTTGATCGAGGTTATGGCGACGATAATTACCAGTATCAGTAACCACGGTAACAATACATTCACTAACAATCGCAATTACTGCTTATTCTGTTTGTATATTTCTGCACGAAAAAAAAAACAATATGGTTGGCTCACATGTGAATTTAGTTGTGTTACTTAGATTAATACAGTAAAATAAACAACTAATTATGTAGTTGCTGCAACCACAAAACAATTGCGGTGAGTTACAGTGACAATATCTGATCAATCAGAATTTATCCGTAGTAAATATCACTCTAATCGATCTCTAGTTGCCATAACTATATCACTACAATGATGTACAGGGTGCGGCGCCAAAATCCGGACAAATTATACATGTTTTCCAAACATATTTTTTATTGCAAAAACGAAAAGATTTACAAAATTTTTTTAACCATTGTAAGACCATAAAGAACACATTTATTCAATATATCCCTCGCTTGCTTGAATGACCGCCTCCATTCTCGGTCTGAAGCGTGCGTAGGCGCGCTTTAATGTGCCACGGTCCAAATCGGTGAATGCTGCTTCAATATGCGGTTCTCAATGATGCGACGTTTGGATGTCTGGACTTGTTCGTGACCCTTTCAACTACGCTCCATACATAGAAGTCCAAAGGATTCAAATCTGGACTGTTGCGAAAGTGTATGAAGTTGGCACCCCACTTTTTGAAATTTATAATTTTGAAAGTTGTTCCAGATTGTTCTGACTTTGTACCACATTGTTCCAAAGTGATATTGCTTCATTCGAAACGGTTTTCGAATAAAACAAAAAAAAATGATTTTTTGAGCTGGCACCCCACTTTTCGAAAATCGAACATTCTGATACCGCAATAGATTGTTCTAGTTGTTCCAAACATTGTTCCAAAAGGACAAATCCGTAAGTTGAATTATAAGTCCAAAAAATGAAAAAAATGTTTTTGACCTGGCACCCCATTTTTTGAAAATAAAGCATTCCGATACCGATATAGATTGTTCTAGTTGTTCCAAACATTGTTCCAAAAGCACAAATCAATAAGTTTAATTATAAGCCCGAAAAATTAAAAAAAAGTTTTTTGACAAACAGTCTATCGGACCAAGAGTAAACTTATACTATCTTTCTTGTTCCAACCGAGATCTTTTTGTTCTGAGTTGTTCTAGGCTTAAGAATTATAGTTCTAGAGTATGAGACTCATAAGATCATTCGTTCTCCGAAAATTCGTAAAAAAATCGATTTGACAGTACTCGACGTCAAGAGTAAACACATGCTTCCTTTCTTGTTCCAACCGAGATCTTTTTGTTCTGAGTTGTGCTAGGCTTAAGAATTATAGTTTTAGAGTATGAGACTCGTAGCGTCATCCGTTCTCCGAAAATTCGAAAAAAAATCGATTTGACAGCACCCGACGTCAAGAGTAAACACATGCTTCCCTTCTTGTTCCAACTGAGATCTTTTTGTTCTGAATTATACTAGGCTTAAACGACGAAGCAATTTCACTTTATTTTGTCATGACATTTTGTAATTA